CCTCCTTCCTCCTTCCTCCTCCTCCTCATCCTCCTCCATCTCCGACGACGGTGGCGACAACAACGCTGACAATGACGACGACGACTATGAAGACGACAACAACGAAGACGACGACAACGACGACGACGACGACGGCGGCGGCAAGAAAGCCAGGAGTCGCCGCCTGCGGCGCTGGTCTGAGCGTATAGACGTAGGCGCCGATGGCGCGCAGCGCCTCGGACGGGCGCCGGCGTCCCACCCTGCTCCTCCGCATCCCTCAAGGGGAGAGGGAAGATTGGCGCGCACAAGTAGGGGGCCACATGCGAACCCTACCCCTACCCCCCAAGATTTCCGAGGGGGGGGGTGGGGTTCAAGTCGCTCGGGAGCTCCCGAACGAAGTGAACCCCACCCTCCCCCTCGGAAATCGTGGGGGGTAGGGGTAGGGTTCGCATGTGGCCCCCTAACAAAGGAGCCTCCTCAGAGAGCGGGGGTGCGTGCTACGAGGGCAGGCGGCGTCTTGGAGCCAGCCTGGCTTCCAGGAAGCCCGAGGAGTACCCAGTCGTTTCTGAGAAGGTCCCTGCCTTCCAAGAAGCCCCCCGCCAACTTTGGAGGCGGCTCCCCCCGGCGTCACCCCCTCTTGTGCGCACCGCCAGGAGGATGCATCTGACCTTCGCTTCATGCGTTACTGCCCGGGGCCCACGTCGCCGACCTGCGGCGGCCGAGGCGCGCGCGCGCGCCGCCCTCGCCGGCGGCCCCCTGGAGGAGGAGGAGGAGGAGGAGGAAGAGGAGGAGGAGGAAGAGGAGGAGGAGGAAGAGGAGGAGGAGGAGGAGGGGGCGTGGGCCGAGAGTGCCAGCAGCCGCTTGAAAAAACCCTGCGCAGCCAACGCCTGCCCAGCCCGCCACCTCCTGCAGGGCATGGGTCCTCGCGCCCCGGATCTCGGAGAGAGGCTCTGACATCCCATGGCGCCTGGGGAGGGGGAGGAGGAAGGAGGGAGGAGGAAGGATTTTTTTTTGACACGGCCATGACTGACACAACGTTGGTGCCAGTAAAACAACCTTTGGCGGTGACTGCGCGGGACGGGCCGCGCGGACACAGAAGGCGCCAGAGGTCAGTCGGAGTCACCAGACTCCGCGGTGCTTACACGAGCAGCTTGCAAGGGAGCCGCGTCCTCCTCTTGGTGAATAAGCGTGCACACACGCCTCGACTGCTCTCGCTCGGACGCCTCACCCTCTTCGTGGGGAATGGCGTCCTGCACTGCACCAGGCCCATCTTGTGGGGCAAAAAGAAAAGGTCCCTCGAGGTGGCCCGCAGCTCTGATGGTACCAGACGACGACGACAAGTCGACGACTTGATTTCTCTGCTGGGCACACTCACGAGGGGGCTCCACAACAGGAGCCTGCTCGGCAAAATGCCTTGTCTGATGGACTTCTTCGCCCACCGCCTGCAAGTCCTCTGGAGACGCCTCAATCACGACTCCGTCGATCTTGGGATGGCGTCCCTTGAGCACTCGATACTTCCAACGCTCTAGATTGTTCCTCGATGGGGCCCTGCAAACCTTAGCGAGCAGCGCAAGGGGGCCCAACGTAGATATAGCTTTGCACCTAACACAGATGAACAGCTGAGATCGATCGCTGCAATCGAACACAACAACATGTGGCCTCTGGCGGCCACCTGTAGCAACGGCTCAGGCACCTTCCCCGTGCAACCCCCAGTTGACGGCGCATCGCTTTCTCCGAAAACGAAAACAAAACTGGGCCTACGTATACGGAGGCATACTGCACACCTCCAGTATGACTTCTGCCATTCCCATTCGTGCTGAAAAGTCTCGGGGCCCTCGGGTTTCTGGCGGGGCTCTCTGGGGTTCAAGTGGACACCCGTGAGATCCAGGGCGGGCCACTTGGGCAGCAAACGGGCCGCCAGCCTACAAACCGCACGAGAAATCTTGACTTTCCTGTCCATTTCATCAAGCTCAGCCTTGGAGCCTGTGGGGTGCGCGAGCAATCCTTGACGTGCGGCACGATCTGCTGCGTCATTCCCGAATTTCTCCCAGCGCTGCTGGGCAGTTAAATCAGGACTGTCAGCCACATGTGCTTTTACTTTCCTAACCGCAGACAGGTGGCACGATTGGGCAAATAACATGGTGCCCGAATACATTGTCTTATAAGAGAACCTGACCTCAGGAGGAAGCGCGAACGTGCTGACCACATTCGCGCAATCCGAGAAACCTTCCGAGGGGCCTCCTAGGCTCTGTGAGACCATGGCGAGGGCCGCAAACTCTCCAGCTTGGGGGGTCTGGGGAAGCGGAGCCCACATAGGCCCACACACCGAGCAGGTCTCCCGAGCGTCCTGGGTGATCTGTACATAGCCCCAAGTGGCCCTGCTCAGCTCCTTGATAGGGTGTCTGGTACAGGACCCGCCCATGAAGATATATCCCCTGACCTGGCCAGGATCTACGACGTCCTCTGTTCCTTCGGGCGTGTGAGTGATAATGCCTCCTTGCTGTCGTGGGCGTGGTAGCACGTCTCCAGGGTGTTCAAACAGCCCCTTAGAGAAAAGCAGCATTTCCTCAGCGTCCGATCGATCGATACTTCTAGCATGGGTGATCAAATCGTCATCGTTGATGAAGTCCCTCCTATCATCGTCGACCGCATTGCGCTCCCACAGACGGTGGAAGATCGTGTCACGCCCTCCGCAGCCTAAAGGAAACTGAGCAGATGGCAGAGCGTACCCCAAGTCGAGCGCACGCTCGTTGGTCCACACCGCCCCGCACACCAGCGACTTGATACAACCCTTCTCGTAGTATGTATACCGTGACGAACGAAGCTGAGACGACACCACATCATAACATACTCGACAAAGTACTTTGTGAACTCTACCTGCCTCCCTTTCGAGCTGTCTCAAGACTCCATCGTGCAACATCTGTTTTATTAGCGCTGGGGAACATGACGTTAAAATAATGTCTTCTCCGAAATCGTTGACCATGACGCAGAAACTCTTCATGTCCCATTGGATCCTGAGGAGGCTGAGGCGGAGCGCTGAGAGGGGACCCGTGACCTTCTTCCAGGCGAGCTCTTCTTTAGGGACCCCGTAAGCCGACTCCCAAGCTTCCCTCAAGACTCCGAACGACAAGGTATTAGGCGAGGATCTGACTTGATTCGAGAAGACCTCCTTAGCATAGCGCACCACTGGTGCCACAGATCCATACCACGCTGGATCCCCGTGCAACAACAACAGGGAAGTGAGGGACCTCATGCCTGCAGACGGCCGTAAGATAGAGCCCACAGCGCGCCGAGCAGTCGCCAACTCGTGATCAGACTGGCCGTGCACTTCAGCTCCATAGGACAGGCCTGCTAGAGGTCCACTCGTGAAAATACTTCGGCAGTGCTTGCCCAGCACCTGCTTGACTCTCTTGAAACGTTTGGTTCTCTTCTTGAAACTGCTGCTCTCTTCTGCTGCTTTTGCCCTCTTCCTTTTCTCCTCCTGCTCTTCCCTGCCGTGTCATCGATACCCAAATTCACTGCAGACTCCACGTACGAGGCTCCACCGTACTCTCCTAGAGCTTGCCTGATGGCTTCTCCAGTCTTGTGTGATGAACAGATGACCGACGCTTTGTCCTGGGCCACTTGTACGCACATCTCGAGGGAGGAGGAAGGAGGGAGGAGGAAGGAGGGAGGAGGAAGGAGGGAGGAGGGAGGAGGGAGGAGGAAGGAGGGAGGAGGAAGAGGGGAATCGGAAATGGGAGGAGGAGACAAAAAATGATGCAGACTGTGCTTTTTGAGGGGGGGGGCTCCTGGGAGACCATCGTCGCTGCAAATGTAGTCGCCTCGAAAATCGGGCTGGAGCGAGCTCCAGGAGACATACGAAGGAGGATCGGGACAGAGGGAGGAGGGCAACACGGAGGAGATGTTGTAATGTTTCCGATGGTTTAAGGAGGATTTCGGTAGTGTTCCAATGCTTCTGAAGGATCCCATGATGGCGCAGGAGGAAGAGAACCTATGCTGCATTCGGGGGCCCTCCTCCTCCTCCTCCTCTCCCCCTCCTCCTCCTCCTCCTCCTCCTCCTCCTCCTCCTCCTCCCCTCCTCCTCCTCCTCCTCCTCCATCATCATCATCATCATCATCATCATCATCATCATCATCATCATCATCATCATCATCATCATCATCATCATCATTGTCCCCCTCTTCTCTTCCTTATTACTCCATTTCGCTCCACCAGACGTGTCCGTAGGCTGGTCTGGGCGTTTAGCCTGTGATTTCCTCAACATTCGCGATCCTGAAGCAGACACTCGAACAATTACACGAGTTGAGGGCCGGCCGTGTAATATAGCAAAACATAAACGCTCTCGCTATAAAGCCAAGCTTTTTGTTTGTTCGCAACAGCTGGTGGTTTCCGAATGCGGATCTCGCCTTAGCGCGGCGCCCATGTGCTTCAGAATGCTCCCACATTACAAGGAGAACCGACCCTTTTCAAAATGCGGGCGTCGCCTTAGCGCCGAGCACATTCGGTTTGGAAAGTCCCAGTACAGTCGGGCTGCTGAAAGAAGGAACGCTAAATAAGAAACGATGCCCCTTCTTGGCCCTGTTGGCGCCTCCGTGCCCCAGGAGGGCAAGAGGAACAGCACTGGAGGAGCCCAGGGAACATCGGGCCCCTTCCGAACCCAGACTGTTCCTTACTTCAGCGTCTTGACTGCAATTGCACAAAGTGCAAATCTCGCTTTGGTGCCGCGCACATTCGATGTCTTGGCGGAGGAGGAGGAGGAGGAGGAGGAGGAGGAGGAGGAGGAGGAGGAGGGGGAGGAGGAGGAGGAGAGGAGGAGGAGGAGGAGGAGGAGGAGGAGGAGGAGGAGGAGGAGGAGGAGGAGAGGGGGGAGGAGGGGGCTCAAAATGCGGCTCTCGCTCGAGCCTTCCTCGAGTCCTGAAGCCGGAGCGCGTCCGACGGCGCAGCCGCTGCACGGGTCGAGGGCGGCTCCTTCGCGGGAACTGGAGCTCTCGCCTGAGTACCTCCTCCTCCTCCTCCTC